ATTGTCCCTTCCTTTTTGCACACGAGCCAAACTCCCCAGGAAGGGTCGTAACACCACTCCCCTCACACACATAAGTGACCAAAACAAAGCAGCATGGAGACACTCCGTCTCCAACCACCTCTCAGGCAGCAGCCTGCACTCCCAAGTTCTACACGTCACCAGAACATAACAAACCGCAACACAATAAAAGCAGTGTTATACAAAATGGAAGGTCTGTAGTGTTTATTCTCTTACAGTAACAATTTATCAATTTTTTTGAGGAATTTATTTGAGATTTTCTGGTTTTTGTTAATTGTGCAATAGAAAAATAATCATTAGATTAATTTTCTAAATAGTCATTAGAATAGTCGACTATTCGATAAAATAATCGTCAGAATAATCGTTTTAAAAATAATCGTTTACCCCCAGCCCTAGTGTTCATGTACCCTCATGAAAGAGTCCTACGTTGAGATGTAAATATTAGAAGTGCAGGTAATGCATTCTGGTGCCTATAAATGAAAAAATGAATGAAAATTAAATTGGGAGTTTTTACTTCATATTTTAGAAATAAAATTGACGGGGAAAAACATTTATGACGTCTTTTGAACGATATTTTCTAGCGCGACCTGCCTGCTTCACTTAAGTCACTGCTTATTAAGGTCCGTCCAAAATTACCGTGGCCCACCCAAAAATAAAAACCTGGCACCACGCCTGTTATAAACCTCTGCAAATTGTTGTTCTTCACTTTATCAAACTCAAAGTTTGTACAGCTAATGTCAAGATGTAAAATTATGAATTCAGTCGGGCTCTTCCCTCCCTCCCTCTCCTGTTTCTCCTTGAAACCCGACATCGGCTGTCAGGTTTCAAGGAGAAACAGAAGAGGAAGGGGAAGAAGGAGATGAGGCAAAAAGAGTGAGTGCAACGTAGAGAAACCAGACTGGTGTGGAGGTGAGCAAAACGGCTGGAAAAGTGTGGGTGCTGAATCCCCCACGGGTGCGATGCCCCCGGCTGCGGGGACAACAGAGATAACATCCACTGCTGGTAGAACAGAGAGGAGTAGTTTGTGTGGTCCAGAACAGGAACCAACATTATGCTGAATAACCGTGGTTCCACTCGAGGACTTCTGGAATTTTCTGGGAAGGAGAAAACTGACGGGAGTTATAATGGCCTGGTCTGTTGTGTCTCCTTACAAATCCATACATATCGTGACAGCTTCAGCAATGAGTGATGTCACAGTTGAGCAAAAAAAAAAAAAAAGAGCCGACAGAAATTCATAACATAGAGTCTTATTAAGTACGGCTTAATTTAATTGACTTTTCTGCTTCATCAGCAACGCTTCTATTTTTACAGAAGCTGGTTGTTTTAGGCAACGTCTGCTGACGTCGTTTCCTACGACCAATCAGCGTTAAGCCGGGCGTACACTGTGCGACTTTTTCACTCGTAGCACTCAGCTTCAGCTCAAACTGTACGACTTCCTCGCAGGGCAGATCTCACGAGTCATGCGCTCACACTGCACGACCCAGTTCTCGGATGCGACCTGACTGCTCACACTGTACGTCTGGTAGCGACACGTCGGACCTAAAAATATGCTAAAAATAGCAGTTTTTACACAACACGTCAGACTTTTTTGTCTTGTCCACTGCTTCCGCAGGTCCCCCAAGGTCTGGAATCGGTCCTTCTCCACAATCTTCCTCAGGGTCAGGTCACCTCTTCTTGTTGTGCAGCGTTTTCTGCCACACTATTTCCTTCCCACTGAGGTGCCTTGATACAGCACTCTGGGAACAGCCTATTCGTTCAGAAATTTCTTTCTGTGTCTTACCCTCTTGCTTGAGGGTGTCAATGATGGCCTTCTGGACAGCAGTCAGGTCGGCAGTCTTACCCATGATTGCGGTTTTGAGTAATGAACCAGGCTGGGAGTTTTTAAAAGCCTCAGGAATCTTTTGCAGGTGTTAGAGTTAATTAGTTGATTCAGATGATTAAGTTAATAGCTCGTTTAGAGAACCTTTTCATGATATGCAAATTTTTTTAGGTAGGAATTTTGGGTTTTCATGAGCTGTATGACAAAATCATCAATATCAGAAACAATAAAAGGCTTGAACTACTTCAGTTGTGTGTAATGAATCTAATATATATGAAAGTCTAATGTTTATCAGTACATTACAGAAAATAGTGAACTTTATCACAATATGCAAATTTTTTAGAAGGATCTGTATTTTCTCTTTGACCTGCCAACGCCTCAGGATACACATGCATGCAGTGTGTGTCAAGGCTATAATATCCAGCAGCACAAATCTCAAGCTAACTGCTAAGAGAATTGTTGAATTTCAGAACCTAAAATTTATTACAGAAGAGTTTTGTTACACTGCTGTTTGTTGTAAAAAATATATTACCACACAATTCCTCTGGCCCATCTGCTGGATCTTGGGTTTGCATTCACCTTCTCAGATCACCACAGCCTGAAATTCATCCCGTATATTTATCTGGTGAAGTAGGAAGTCGGGGGTGGGGGGTCATGCTTTTGAAATATGGAGGAAAACAATGGAGATGGAGATAATGAGCGGGGCCACCTGTGAAGGCTGTTGAAGTGGAAAACCCCCGCTAACATAATAAACAAAATTATAGTTTGTCACGGCACCCCTAAACTGGGAAACTTCCTGTCAGCGGTGCACTTCCTGTTGTCTCCTGTTTGTTGTCACTCGTATCAAACGGGTAATCTTCAGGTTGGATCGGATCGTTTCTGTTTCTATCGATGCCCGTGAGCATGACTCGGATCTTTTTTCTCTAATAAGTCGGTTGCTTTACATCATCCTGCTGCCGCTCGACTCATACACGTTTGTCCCTTTGTGTTTCCAGGAAACTGCAGTGGTTTAATTTGACACAGACAAGTTTTTTTTGTCAGGTTTTCATAAAAAAGCCTGACCTCTCAACACTTGTCTCTTTGTCTGCAAGTCAAATCAGCTCCACATCTCACTTTCCTCCCCCGAAACCAGCACGTCAACACACTTTGGTATCTCAGATTCCCTTCTCCTCTTTCTTTGCTCTGCGTCTCCTCATTTGTCCTTGTCCCTCGTCTCCTAACTTCTTACCTTCTCCCCTCAGAGCGAGGATGATATTAAAAGCTTCAGTATCCAAACCGGTACTGAGAGAGTGCTGCTGATGCCTCTCAGCAGGGCTTACTATTTGAGTATTTAGCAGAATATCAGGTTGAGGTCCCAGTGTCCACAACAGCTCTAACCCTTCACCACCCCCACCCCAGCCTCAAGGCCGTTTAAATCAAGCAGACAGCAAGGTTTCGATTTAGAGGGGAGTGGGGCTTTTGTGGGAAACTCCATTGGGAGCAGGGGGTCAGGCCATGGAGAAGTTAGGATTAAACTGCACTCATCCCAAAAACAAAAACATAAAGAAAACCAGATACTGAGCCCATCCAGCTCAGCAGAGTGACTGATGTCTTCAGGACTGGTTCTGAAAATAGGATCTAAAGGAGGAAGGAGATCTCTTGCCCTCAGGGATGTAAGCTGGGCTAAGGTGGGGCAACTATAGAGACTGCAGCGCTCTGACACTGGGAACAGAGAGGTGGGACTCAAAGGGGAATAGGTTACATGAATACTTTAACCCTCTAAAGCCTGGTGCTTGCAGCAATAGTCAAGGGAATTATTTATGTAAAAAGTGAATGGTTTATTAAATAATGATAATTTAGGTTTTTCATAGATGGATGGTTTCAGTGTGGGTTCATTTGTCTGAAGAGGAGTTTTTAACAATCCACCTTTAAAAGCCCCAACTAGGTCAGATAGATGGAAGGATAAATGCATGGATGCATGATGGAAGGAAGGAAGGAAACATGCATGCATAGATGGATGGATGGATGGATGGATGGATGGATGGATGGCACAAAGAAAGGACAGAAGCATGGATGGATGAAAGGATGGACAGACAGACAGACAGACAGACAGACAGATAGATAGATAGACAGATAGACAGATAGATAGATAGACAGATAGACAGATAGATAGATAGATAGATAGATAGATAGATAGATAGATGATAGATGATAGATAGATAGATAGATAGATAGATAGATAGATAGATAGATAGATAGATAGATAGATAGATAGATAGATAGATAGATAGATAGATGATAGATAGATAGATAGATAGATAGATAGATAGATAGATAGATAGATAGATAGATAGATAGATAGATAGATAGATAGATAGATAGATAGATAGATAGATAGATAGATAGATAGATAGATAGATAGATAGACAGACAGACAGACAGACAGACAGACAGACAGACAGACAGACAGACAGACAGACAGACAGACAGACAGACAGACAGACAGGACAAAAGGAATGATAGAAGGATGGACGGACGGGTGGATAGATGGATGAAAGGATGGCTAGATGGATGGGTTATATGAATGGATGGATGAAGATATAAATAGATGGATGAAAGGATGGACAGATGGATGGATGATGAAAGGATGGATGGATGGATAGATGGATGAAAGGATGGATGGATGGATAGATGGATGAAAGGATGGATGGATGGATAGATGGATGAAAGGATGGATAGACAAATAAAATAATTGATAGATAAATGAAAGGATGGATAGAATGATGGATACATGAATGGATATATGTATATATGTATGGATGGGTGGCTGGATAGATAAATTAAATGGATGGATGGATGAATGGATGGATGGATATATGAAAGAATGGATAGATGGATGTTTGGAAAAACCAAAATGACCAACATTGCATTCTCAATAATTCCACTATTTATTTATCGCAACCTAGTTGAGGCTTTTTAAGGTGGACTGTTTAAAAACACCTCTTCAACGAAACGACACTGAGACAGGAAGTATTTCCATTTGGAACAGAAAAGTAACAGGAACCCCAATAACATCAGCCAAAGAATAACAGGAAACTGTTTGTGTTTGTTCCTCTTTGGAGGAAGAGCTTCACCCTGGAGACACATTTTAGTGGATAATGTATGAACTTAAAAGCAGACCAACCTCCTGTGTGGATTCTACTGCTGAATGAAGACAAGTTTCTTCAGATGAAACCAGATGATGTCAGGCTGTAGAGAGACAGAGAACAATACAGCTCTGAGTCCAAATGACAAAACCACGCCATCTCCGGAGGGGAACTGTTCGGTCATCGTTGGCTCCCCCAACATTAATGAGCATCTCTTCCTATTTGCTCATCTGTATTTTCTTCTAAACATGACACAGCAGAGAAGCTGCACCTGGAGAACCCTAAATGGTCTCACATGTTCATAAAAACAAGAACAGACGCTGATGTTGGCGTATCAGGATCCTGGTGGCAAAACGGCAGAAAGCCAAGCTGCCTTCTAAACAAAACCACAACACTTGTTTACTATCATTTTGTCAACACGTATCATGAGGGTGAAATTGAGCTTACACTGTCAAATCGGACTGTCATTTTTAGGTTAGTGAGTTACTGAGATGGTTTTAACCAGTGAAAGCAGCTGTGGTAAACCTGCAAAACAAGCTAGCTTTTAAACATGATCCCAGAACGCTCACCCCTCCCATTGACCCAGGTACATGCACAGTGCCATGGTTCCATGAGACCGATAACCGGATGGTCCAATCGTTGGTTTCACACCGAGCCGTGTTATTGGCTGAGGTTTTTAGACAAATGCATGTTGTTTTTTATGTCCACAACATATTTATGGTAATACTACATTAGAACATTATTAAGAGGCTTGAAAAATGTTTGAAACACTGGTTTGTTTTGCACACATGGTAGTGGTAAGTAGTATATAGAAACAAGTCACTGACTAGTGTCAGTGACTTTACAGCAATCCTCATACTAAGCAAGCATATAGCGACAGTGGACAGGAAAACTCCCTTTTAACAGGAAGAAACCTCCAGAGGATCCTGGCTCAGTATAAGCAGCCATCCTCCACGACTCACTGGGGATCCAAGCAATGTGTCTATGGTTACATTGTGATTTCTTAGTAAATATTCTATTTGGCGAGAGATAAACTTTATTGTATTTATCCTAGCGAATCTATAATTAAACGGGTAAACTAGCAGTAGCCCATTCAATGTCAAGGAAAGCAAAAAGTTATTATCATCACTTTTCATCACTGGCAACGAACGAAAAGGTCAATGTGTAAAACTACAATGTTTACGAATGGGGAAAGTTTTGTAACTGTTGTTACGAATCAGTAAATGTATTTTGTCCTCACGGGAAACATGGTGTCTAATATGGCGTTGCCCAGAGACTTAAGGTGTTTCTCAATGCCAAAGAACCTTGTCTTGATGTCTTGGTCCTGCCCCAGTTGCCTAGGAGATACGTCATCAGGAACCGCCAAGCCATGTTCCAATGTTCATGTTCTACCAAAGTGTGTGTTCTCCGCTTGTTAGCCGTTTAGCTAGCTGAGCAAGGATACACGGGAGGTGTCTTGTAGCCTAGCCTTGGTCAAAAATTTCCCAGAATACAGTGTCGTATTTTCAAAAGGATGGCGGATCAGAAGCTGGCAGCTTCTTCTGAGGAAATTTTTAAGTTTAAAAGTAAGTCAGTTAATTTAAAATGTTTTTAGATCCAAAGAGGTTATCTATGGTTGGCTAGTTGCTTAGCAGTTGCAGTTTCAGTGGCTAGCGGGTAGTAACTCACTTATATATTTAATTTAACAAATATATACGCAATTTAAAAAGTAAAAGCCTCGTTATATATTTATGTTGAAACTTATACTTATAAAATATAAAGTTATCTCCCGTGTCACGTGACGTTGCGTGACTGCCGCGGAAGCCGCGTTAACGTAATTTAAGTCTGTTCCATTTAAACCTTTTCTTTGACCAAGGAAGGACAGTGTCCTTGTAAGCAAGGCTCCTGGCCTCGCAAGACATCACCTCGCAAGGTCAGGCCGCCTTGACATTAATATGTTTCTTAATGTCCCTTAGACCCGCTCCCATGTGTTTTAGACCTGGTTTTTATGGTTATATGTTACAAAGCTGTCAATATTTTTTAACAACTAGGCATCATTTAATTCATTTAAATGAATCCAGAGATTAATGGTAAAAATTACCCATTGTCTCTTTAAGTTAAAAAATTTCTAACACATAATTTCACATAATAGAAATTCAATGTGTGAAAAAAGTCACATTCTGGAGAGACTGCATTTCTTCCATAGTAACACTAAAACTGGTCCTGTTAACTGATTAATGAAAAAAATAAACTGTCACCATTTTGATTCTCACTGATTAAAAGTCAACAGCAGCTGATCGTCATCAAACACTTTCCTTCAGTCAGCAGCAGCTTCCCATTACTCTGCTTGCTTCATACAAGACACACATGTGAGGTTGTAGATAATTAACTAATGGCGACTCTCTTCCCTTTTTCCTGTTGAAGCCTTCTGATGGAACCGAGCAGCACTCAGCTCAGTTAATCACCAGGTCAATAGTCTGTTAACAAGATTGACCAGAAACGCTAACGCAGACTGAATGTTTCAGCTCACGAAGACTCAAAGGAAGTATAAATGTTTTAGGACATCTGAGCAGACACAAGAGAGACATGGAACAGGCGACCACCAGCAACAATACACTTCATTTGAGCGACCTCTGGGACCACTTCCTTTTCCATCCTCCATGGACAGAAAATTAACTTGTCTAACTATTGATTTAGAATTTCTGTCTAATGGTTTCTTTGGCTGACGTCATCTAAAAACTAAACATAAATGACTCAGCTAAATAACAAAATATTATGTCTAGCTACTTTTAGAACATTATAACACTGTTCAAAATTAAATTATATATATAGCATATTCTTATAAAAACAGATAACTTTGGAATATTTTTGAAAAGTTATTGAACAATAGATACCATTTCTGATCTATTATAAATTATTATCATATTTTAGAATATTTTATATTTGAGGATCTGCCTCAGTGTCATCTTCCTCTTGTTCCTCATCATCGCTGATGGTGAGATTGTTTGTTGCAATAACTGTCCTCCATTTTCCACAGAACTCTTAGCTTAACACTGCAAAATATGTTCAATATCATAATTGTTATTATTACTGTTGCCATGAATGGCAAAAAAGTTCTTCACGGGCCGTGATAAGCTTGGATGAAAACATCTGCCTCTTTAGCTCCTGATCAGCTGATGACAGCTTCAACAAACCGCGCTGCTTAACGCACGCATTTTCTTTTGATAAAAGAAGACGGTAATTAATTAGATTGCTCATTACTGAAAAAATAATCTTTTTAGTAACGTGGTTATTTTAAACGCCGTTATTCCCATCACTGCTCTGTTGGGTCTACAGCATGCAGCGACTGAGACAGTCAGAAAACTGAGGGTCTCCGCCCAACCGGCCAATCATCATCGTGTTTGTAAGTGTGTTACCGACGCCTCTCTCTCCCTGGCTGCAGCTGAAGTGTGGCGGTCAGAGAGCCTCACACTGTTGCTCAACGTACGACAAGCACATAGTAACGCACAACCTTCCATCCCCAGTAACGGTAACGGCGTTGCAACAGTGCAAAAGTCATTAATTAGATTATTCCGTTACCTAAAAAAGAACACCGTTATACTTAAACGCTGTTACTCCCAACACTGCACACCGATATTTGGTAAGTCATAACCCCACACTGATTGGTGGAATGGTGCCATGGCGCAACCCCTGACTAGCTTAATCTCTGATGGTTGTTTGAGTGAAATTCCGTAATTCTAAGAATTCGTGAAAAGACACACCAACATCATTTATGATGTGAGTGGAAGTGTCTAAATAGACGTTGTCCCTATAAAGGGTTAAATATTGCATGATTGACACAGAGCTTCAGTGGGATGACTGGGTTTCACTACACAGATTAAATAGGAGAACTCTATAATGAACAGACCGATAACACACTGGCTGGAAAGCATGTGTTACAGATCGGATTAGGACTGGACTGTAACACCTGAACGAAGAATCAAAAACACAGTGGTGGGTTATTTTCTCACTCTCCACCGTGAGTTTACAATTGTCCTCAAGGGAACCTCAACAGCATAAATATTTGTTGGTTTTTTTCCCAAATCACCACAGCTGAGAGGATTTTCCCCAACTGTTACAATCCAGCTACTATTTTTGCCCTTTAAAGTGATGCAAAAACATAAAAATAAAAACTCACCCTGATGTGCAATAAAGTTGGCACAGCCTCCGAGTGGGAGCTGTGTTGGAGTTTGGAGCTCAGCTGCTGAGCCCCTTTCACAGCTGGGGGCCGCCTCTAATGTGGCGACCGTAGGTATGTTCACCGCAGCCGGGCTCACCACAAAAGGGCCTTTCTTTGAGTTTTTAAGGGTTTTGGGACGGAGAGGGCTGTGTGTGGGTTGCCGTCTTTGAGTGGAATCGCTTAAGGAATGACTTTTACTTAAATTTAAGTTAGAAAATCACTTCTCTAATGTCAATTACATTACATGTGAAGTGGATCCTTGGAGTAGAAATCTAAACAAATCACAACCTTTCAGGATGTTCCTGAGGATGATTCTTCCCATTGTCATTGTTTTTTAACCCTCTCAGGCTCAAAGTAAGTTTTGATAAAAGGACGAACAACTAAGTCCTTCAGGGAAACTTCTGAGTTAAAGAATGCTCATGAAATACGTATGTGGAGTAACCAGGTAGGTAGGTTTTAACGTTGCAAATCTACAACGCCTGCCTCCAGAGGGTTAAAATCTATCTGAGGAGGTGCTACAGAAACCAAGCTGGTGCATCCAGTTTCCAAATCAAACTCCCCAAACTAAAAGGCCTAGACAGGAAGTAAAAGCTGGGTTTGAACTGGTTTCATGTGTCCTTCAAAAATCTACCTCACCAATTTAAATTTTTAAAGTTTGCCCCTTGATAATATTTTACGTAGCAGCATCTTTTCATTAGGATGGTTGCAGGTTCAAATCTTGGCTGCAGCCTTACTGAGTAGAGTTAGAACGTTCTCATGCGTGTGTGGGTATGGTTGTTTTTCTTTGTGTCCCTGTCAATGGATATGAGACCTGTCCAGGGTGTCCCCTGCCTCTCATCTGATAACTACGGGAGTTAGGCCTCATTTACACCAAGTGCAAAACAGACCCAGCTTCCACCAAGACC